GCAACCACATAGTGACATAAATTAGTCACGTACTACATTTTTATCCGCCACAATGTCGGTATTCATTTGAATTCGACGTAATTCCTGCACGAATAATGGTTCAACACAGAAAAACAGAGGTATCAGTCACTAAATTGGCTCATTGAAACTGACTGAAAGGTCAGCCTTCATGCTACCCAGCACCGGCCAAGTTCCGTATATGAATTGCAATCGGGGGGAAAACTGGATTCCAAAACATGGTCAATTTATATTCAACCCATTGGTGCAACGGTCGACACATTTTGGGGAACGACCGGGTATTTACACTGCTGATACCGTGAACTATGAATAATTTGGTCTGAATTTCAGCTGATGAACCTTTAGATTCTTTTCACTGTTTCTTGTGCTCACACTTATTTGAGTCAAAGTCGCTGATGAGTAGTATTCTGAAGCCACAGAACCTCCGTGAAGCCAGAGTGTTTTCAAGATCACCTATTGTTAAACTTGAGAGATTATGCATACAAACTACTTCAATATTGTAACTAGCTGCTCATTACGCTTGCTCCATTTGATATGCCTGGTGAAACGTCCGCTCATCAACACCACACTATCATCACGATCATTAGTATTAGAAAATGATTTGGTGATGTTCAATCATTCGTATAAGTGGAGATCATAATTAGGAATTTCTGGCTTACACCATGACAAGACGGTATAACAACGCTTTACGGTGTGGTGCTGGAGTACATGGTTGTATGGCAAACGAGGAAGATTCATACTAGATACGACGTATGACACCACACGACTACTTGCAAGCCGGCTGTACTTTAGGTCTAATTGAGCGAGTAGGTCTGTTGTGATGCGGTGCGATCGGTCAACCGATGCGAAATATACATAGAAAGACAATGGTGATATTAATTGGTCGAATTTAGCCGGTGGGAAGCCTTAGACTTAGGTTTTGTGCCATTAGGACTGATCATCAGGGAGGGCATTTGTAACTGGTGTTCGCCCCGAGGTTCGAGCCTGAGTCGCTCAGTGCTATGGTCAAGAGCATTAGAGCTGTATTGCTCGGGCAGTGACTGGTCTACTGTGGGACTGTTTGGTCGCTGAGAGCAGCCAACTTCATATGTAGCACTGATTACCTGTCAGACTCTATCATTAAATAGCGATGACCGTGTCAGTCACCTACGACAAGAGTCTTCTGTTAACACTGTTAGTAACTGTCTCCTTCCAAGGATATCGGAAAGGCGTCACAGAGGCTAGTGTATATTCCATCAAAATTCTCGCGATGAAAGAATTCCAAGTCGCTTGGATTAAAGGGAAGACATCCATATTATGTCTTGGATTATCCCAGGGTTTACTTAGAATTATTCTTCAGCCAAATTTAACATAACCGTAGGTTTTGCCTGTCCTGATAATAATACCATTAATATCCGGGTTACCACGGGTTCTCCATATTAGTCGTTCGAAATTTCAGCTTGTTGATTCCGCGCACTCTCAAGGCCACCTGCCAATAAACTCTCATCATGTACAGTTAATACTTAGTAGCAGTGCGGAGCCTCAAATACCAGGTGAATTTGCACAGTTCTGTTGATTCCCAGCCCCTTCAAATTTTTTTGGGTCTACAACTGAAACATATTAAAGTATGTTGTGCCTCACCACATTTAATTAAAAGGCGATTCTTTTGTTCACCGTTTCTCAGAAGATATAAGCAACTATGAAATCTAATCCGCCCCAATTTTCTCATAGCTTGCATTGGTATTCGCCCGCAACACATGATGATGCAGCCTCGGTATTTTGGCGTTAATAACAGAAAACGATCTCAGGAGTAGAAGCGCATGGTCTCTGTCACATTAGGAATCACTGACCCCTTGAAGGTGCTCAAAGCAGAAACAGAAATCGGGTATGTTTATCTCGTATTGGTAGCAACAGCTCTAACTGAATTTGCGATTGGTACACGAATATGTTGGAGTTCCGACACTCTCAGCGTCGTGCAGTAAAACAGCTTGGTCACTATAAGCTATCATCATGGACTGTAAAAGTTCTACCTAGTTAGTTTGCTGTAGAAATCAAAAGTAGTGGGAGACGCATAAGCGGGAGAGTGTGAGATGGATTTTGTCGATCCAAAGTGGTTTCTGAGTAGCGGTTACCACGGTCCCCTGAGAGAACCCGTTCGGCCAAGATCCTTTACACTGCATCTCAATGAAATGTAAGCTGAGAACGGTGAGATTGTGCCCTTACTTTAAAGACACTAGTCCAAACAGTTGGAAGCAGGTCAGCTGATACGTGGCCAGTTAAATCTTTATCACTTGACGTAGCCAGCCTTGCACGAATTAAAACTTGCAAGAACCACTCTGGCCGATGATTTGCTCAGATTTGAAGTGGTGACCACAGAGAACGGGTTATATTACTGAATAAAAAACTATGCAAGTGGACTAACAACGTCGGCCAGTTATGACAAAATTCGAACATTGCGCGCTTTCGTTTCTAACGGAGGAACTTAGTTGTGAGACGGGAGATGAAGATCCATGCCCATCTCATGAATTCCAGTGGGTTTTAATAACATTATAAGCATGCATATGTGAATTATTTAATACCAAATACTATTTTTTACTTTCAAGAGTTATCAACTTGGCGATGCTTGTAAACTGGTATCTCCCACTTCAGCTCCGTTATGTGAGGATGAGGATTATTACTATCCAAACTTTAACATTCTGTATACGCTAAAAAGTGATTTTTTCCCGTTGGTCTGATAACTAGTATGATCTTCTGATGTTTTCAATAGAGTTTAATGGCGTACCCCTTGTACCACTTAGGACTAGTAAAATCTTGCAGGATTTTCCACACATATCAATGTGATGGTGCCTGTAAACTGGCTTCTCTCACGTTTAATCAATAGTGTGAGAGTAAATCATTTATTGATTTATTATCTCTAATTCGCTAGGCCTGCAAAAAGAGACAGAAGTTTCGAAGTTTCAAGCTGATGGTCCTCCGGGCAAAGTGTTCGAGGCTGTTCTGAATATCGAAAATAAATCTGCGCTATTTAATCGCGCACAACACCCTCTCTATTAAGCTGTTGACCAGCTGAACAGAAGTACAAAATGAAGTCGATCGTGGGTGTATAAATATGCCGCTACAAACAAATATTAATGTACTGCGGACGTCCGCTAGTGTCCCAACGAGACTCTTCAACTAACAAGTGATTTTTTACCATTATTTCTGCACTAATTTTGAACCTAATGCCATTCTGCTACTAGGAGAGAGCCTCAGCGCAACTATTTACTGGAAATCAGGACAAGGAATGTCCGAGTGTGTCACCTGCCTTGTTGTTCCCTAAGGCCCGGCCAATCTTACACAAGCTAATGTTTGCCGCTACCAGCCAAATCACTAAATTTCCTAACTTGCAGTTACCAATGAATAACCAGAAGTAGAAAGGCCAAATTATTAGGGGACAGGCCTCCACAGAACGATATGTTTACATGCAAAGGCTTGCACGGAGGAAGAATGGATTAACAGGATATCCTTACATGTCAGTGCGGGTGGCCATCATCTTCATAGGATGATCCTAACTATGCGGCATTTCGTAAGCTGCTCTGCCTAATTGATGTTTCATTGTACTCCGCGGCAACATTTTAGCGTGGGTGCAGGTTTTATGCATGTTTAGTGAATGACTACACTGCATTAGGCAGAGCTGATCTGCCGGTTGAGGAAAATTTCGAATTTGTCTGAGAAGGAAAACTTCAAAGTATAGTTTGAAACGCAGGAGTGTTTAAATGAAAGTTACCGTGTAGGCTACCAGGTAACGCTCTACTAGAATGAGCAACCTAAGTCAGAAACCTCTGCAGAAGTGGCGAAATCCGGTTCAAAGGGTAACTTAAACCATCTGGGAAGGATTCGAAGGACGGTGACCCTTGTGGTTATTTAGACGGCTAGCTGGAGCGACTTCAAGAGCTGTAACTCTTCCTTTTATCGTATCACAGAGTGGGAGGGAGGACGTCTAATCATGCTATTTAGGATATTGAGCGATGACTTTGAGCCCGATCTGTTTTCTACTTCCCTCATCATTAGGTCGCAACATTTTCGAAGAGACAGCAGCAGAGAACAAAGGTTGACGGCGAATATGGTAAACTCATAGCACTGGTCTTCTCACTAGCACAATGACCCTTGGAATCGACCTACGCAAGAAATAGGATCCTCAGCGTCAACTAACTTTTTCGGTAGAGGATAGAGAAGGAAAACGTCATCCTAGTGCTGGTTCGGAGAGGAGGTATGAACAGCGTAGTTGCTCTAAAGTCACAGCAAGTCAAATGCCTGAGGATCAAAAGGGGATATTATCTTTTTGTATCTGCGGACAATACCCTGCTTCCTTGCAGATTATTCTTAAGCTTTAATTAGAAGCTGCACCTTGGAGGCCGCCGGTTAAGAGCAGAGCATGAGACGGCACACATGGCAAGCCATGCTGACTCGTTTACAGTTAGGGTTTGTAAACCGTAGAACTTTATCCCTGCAGAAGTTGTTACAGCCCCCTTCCCTGGTACTTTCCAAAGGAGGTTAGACACGCATTCAGAGTCTTGTGGTGCTGATGGGCAGCACCGGATAAACCTCCCACCATCTATAGATGAGTAAGAGTAACACTGCTTTTCGAGAGCAGAGTAACTTTGAATTAATTGTCTGTTTCCTTTTAGGATAATCGGAACCAGGAAGACAACTTCGAACATTTCAAATCAAGGATACAATCCAGTGAAAGAGATGTAGAGCCCAAGAAACCGTCATCGACTAACTCTGCAACACGAAGTTTGGAGTTCAGAGTTTGAAGACTGGACAAATACAGAGATCTAATAGAAAAGGTCTAGCAAAGGCCTTCTGCCTCAAAAAAAATCTAAGACCTTAACCTGACTTGAAAAATGGCTTCAGCCTTGAGAACTACAAAGCCTGTACTTTTCAAGCAGTATGCTTCTTACGAGATCACAAAAAGACTTACCTACTTGGTCTTATAACGTTTTGTGAAGGGGTGTAAGGTTGTACCCGCTGAGTTCAAATCCATTGACCTGTTGTAGACTTTTTCTGATGTCGGATAATGACACCGCATCTTTGCTCAAACTGACTGAAAATATACTTCAGGATTATCGAAGTCTTATTTCAGAAACAAAGCGGCGATATGTTCCCATCAAAGAAGTAGTTGAATTATGTGTAATCAGCATTTTAGACAACGGAGTCACAAATCCCGAAATTGAGAGCTATCATAAATAGTGACACCGATCTCCGAACAGGTGGGCGCTGTTTCTCTTTAATGTTGCATAATCAGGCCTTCAGGAGTCATGTAGCTCCCTCATATCTCCGTTCTTAAGTGGCTGTCTTTCGAAAAACCAGAAAGTAATCGTGTTATGTCTTACAGCGCTGCAGCGTTTCATCAACCAGAAGTGTCTATCAAAGGTAGACTTCATTTTAGACATAATTTTTGCAGGATGCTGCCGAAGCGATTATCGATGCACTTTGGCAACTTTCAGAGTCTAATGTAGAAGAACTACGTTTACTACAGACCACAATATTACTTCTCACAAGCTCATCCTTGGTTCGTGATTCCCAGCTAGCCAAAGTATGTCTCACTGTTGATCATTCGTTTTCAAAAATGCCTCATGTCTTGTTTACGTAATAACTTCTCGACATGTCTGGTGCATGGGATTAATCGTTCTGGTAGTCCGAACAGATAAACAAGTAATCCATAAGTAAAGACCTAACAGGAACTGTTCATCTTAGTAGGGACTCAAAAAGCATTTAGTATTAATCTGTTCAAGAGTTTTGGCCCTCCTGGCTTAACGGCAAGTTATTAAAACTCATGTAAACGTGCTTGACTAAAGTCTTCTGCGCACTTTTTTCTCTCCTGTTTTGCCTCATTGCATGTTCACCACTTTTTGTCTTCTAATGCGAGCATTTGCTATGGAAGAACCTTATGCATGTATGTAAATGTCGATGTATCTTACATGTCTACTTTACTTACAATTCTCACGCACTTCAAGAATACGGTGAACTTCAGCTTTCAAGTCTCATTATTGCGATTGCTTTTCATGAGATTTTCGTGTAGCCTATCATCAACAAATCAGTGTTGCAGGAATTACTTGTACCAATAGGCTCTTTCCTTTCGGTACTTATGTTTCGAAAGTCATACTAGTGGCATGTCAAGTAATTGGTTGTGGTAATATTCCCTCTGCGGCTTTTCATTGTTCTTGGTTTACTTATGCTTATTTCTGTCGTCTTTCTCGCTAGCACTTTTACATACACTAGCAAGTTTAGCTTTCGTTTTAAAATGTGATTTCAATGAATCCATTGTTATCGCATATTGTACAGCAAGACAGTCAACAAGTCACTTACTAGTTGTAGTTGTTTGTGCATTGTTGGGTGAGATGATTGCTTTACTGAAGACAAAAGGGTTTAACTTTGAAGATCATAAGAGCTAGACGTTCGCTTTAAACCCGTGAACCTTTCCTCATGACAGTGTCATCAGTTTTCAGCTGAATGATACTCATCGTAATACTCATGAATGAAGTAAGCTTGCTGCAATCATGTTAGATGATAGTGCATTAGAATTTCTGTTATTCTCTAGAAGCTCCTAATGTATTCACGAAATAGTTTAACTAGATCGTTGTTTTCAATTTTTTTTAATGCTTTGCGTAATTTATTTTGTAGGCTTTCGCCATCTGTTTGAAACTCCATCTTTCAAAGACGACGGCAACTGTAAATACGGCTGCAGCAGCTGTGCGTCAGTGTGCTAGTACCGTTTTCGACCGGGTATTCAAAGACGAGCTAGTCGTACAACCAGTAGACTCTACTAGGCAAAGGACATCATGTAAGTTCACGTTTCCCAGTCAATCAAAAATGTTAAGGTCCCCCAGGTTTTAGCTATCTATATGATGCTTAAAGCCTACCCACCTAAATACTGACTATTTCCTTGCTTTCTACGCGTTTCAACTATGTTTTTACTTCCGAATACAGACTACGCAGGAAATTCGGCCAGTGAACGTCGATAATTATTTCTGGATAGCCTACTTATCTTTTTATTCTTAGTTCCAACTCCTTGTTTTTCCTCAGTAAGGATTAAAGTGAAACTTCCGTGATTTACTAAAGCGATTTGCATCTTATATTTCTGAAATTTCAGCCAGGACCGATGATATACTTCCTGTCAATCCCATGGAGTTGAAACCTTCTGAGAGGGACGCTTATATGCTGTTTCAGGTAAGCAACTAACACGCAAGTCTTTTTCTTAACTTACACTTATGTTAGGGAATTTTGTCACAATGACTAGCTTCAAGTACATTGGATGTAATTTAGTCATATTATTCAACTATGATGCATGGGTTGAATATTTTACTGAGCAGAAACTTGGGATAATCATGGAATTCGGGTTATTTTACTCTTCAATGTACACATTTTATCCTGGAAATAATACAGAGTTTAATGCAGTTATTATCTGTGCCTGTTTCCAGAAAGTTGGTTAGTGACTGTTATACTATGGAAACAGGTTTTTTTGACATGAGAGCAGTCATTAGCAAGTTGTGTATAGATTTGAGAAAATTCATACTGTATCTAAAGTTAGTACCAGCGTTTCTTCGTGTTACAGTTGTGAAAGTTACTCCCCACCTAGCTACTCAACAACATAGAGGCACTGAATTTTCTTATACTGTAACCTAGTATTTGTGGTGCATTACTCGTGATGAACTTGAACTAGCGCAAAATACCAAAGCTGTGCGAACACTTCTCTACTCCGGAATCTGGAACCATGGATGTATGTTGTGTCTCTGAGATATCTTTACAGCACCCAAATGTAGTTTTTACTCGGCATCACCTGGCTATAGTAGTGAATCTCCAAAATTCACCTCAAGAGTATTCGAAGATCTAGTGGCTAACTCTCATGCACTCTCTGGTGTAGGCATAGCATTGAACTGTTGGGCAGAACGTGCGCTTCTTAACTGGGTACCAGTCAGCAGCCATCTATATGCTGTTCAACTGAATGGATCCATAGAACCCAGGAAGGATCGCGAAACTAGGCGCTGCTTATTCGTATGTTCCGCCTGAGCACCTATCAACTGCAGTTCGGATGATGAAAAGGATGAATTCTGTGAAAAGCTGTCAATTTTCTTACAGGAAGCAAAATGTCCAGATGTAGTCATAATGGCAGGTTACCTTAACGAGTCGAGTAGGAAAGCTGAGCCAAGTGGAAAGGCATCTTGGGGTATTTACGGAATCTCATGCTGAAGAACCGAAAAAGAAGAGGTCTTCCTGTGACGCAACTATGGGGGAATTAGTCCGACTAATATCGTATCCAAGACTCTGAGGAGCATGGTTGTCTGTCACATAAGTGGAGCTCAAAAACAGCAAACTGGAGAAAACCAGGCAGGCTTTAGATCTATACGAGGGTGAATCGACCAGATTTCCACTGTACGATAAGTCCTGGAACATGGGAATACCGGCGCCCCATGGTTGCCGAATTTCTTATCCTGAAGAGGGCAATTGATTCTGTCAACCATGAGAAGTTGTACCGGTGTCTGACTATGAAGAGAGTACCGAGCAAGTATATAATACTTATCAAAGCTCTTTACTCGAACTCACGCAACCGTGTAAAAGCTTATAAAGAGTTGTCGTCAGAGTTGACGATAACTGGTGGTGCCCTCCAGGGATGCCTACTCACTATTTCTATTTGACGTCTTCTGGTGAACTTGGAGTATGCAGACGATATTTTGCTGCTAGGTAGAGGTTTTGGCAAAATGCAGGGTCTTCTGAATGCGTTGAGAAGAAATCTAAGTATTTTTGCTTAGAACGTGTTACTGTGTCAACTGTCAAATGTAAGATGATGGTCCAGGACTGGTCTGCAACCACTCCTGGTTTAATGATGGGGAGTGGAGGGGTTGAATGGGTCGATCACTTCACTTACTTGGGTAGTTGCATCAGCCCAAACCGGGTGTTTGCTGATGGAATCTCAGCTCGGATACAGAAGGCTCGTTTGGGATTTGACAACTTGTGTCATCTCTAGCACTGGTGAGAGATCCGACTACTTTTCAGTGGGCAAGTGTAATACTCCGCAGTCCGTTCTGGTGAGTTATACAGCTTTAAGACATGACCGTTAAAAGTAGAAGACACGAAACAGTTACAGTTTATTAATCACAGGTGTCTTCGTAGCATTCTTCGCGTTTAGAATCACAATGGGAGGAATGTTGAGGTCAAGCGAAGGGTATTGGGTAAGACAGGTAAGTTGATTGATGAGGTTGTGAAGATAAGTCGGCTCATATAACCGCAACATGTACTGCGCATACCAAGCCACCGCTTTTTTCGACGTACCATGCTAGGAGAAGTTGGACTAGGTTTGAACAGGGTCCAGCATGGTCAGACCAAGACATGGCACCAGTCAATAAAGTCGGTGAATGCCAGTTGGAGCCGTGTGGGAAGATGTAGACTACTTGGTTCGGGTCTCCGAGAGGAAAGGAATCAGGGGTTGAGGACTCTCAGTGACATGGCTGCAAATCGATCGTAATGGTCCAGATGCATTCACTCCTTGACATCTTCTAAGGTTTGAATACTGCCACTAACCCCTATCTTCCGATTATTTATTCCTTCTCACTACTTTGTCTTCTTTGATATCACTTTTTTACCCTCGCCCTGTTCTTTGTATACCACTGTAAAGTGTGGCAACTTGACCCGATGAACTTGTGTACGAGGTTCTACGTTGATGTTGTCTGTTCCTCTCTCTAGTGTAGCGCGTTTGTTGGTGCGATTGCCGTTAAGTTAAATCAAGGCAGTATCTTACTTGTCAGCGGGATATCTTTTAGTACACATAGCCGCTCCTTATTATGGTTCGAAGAAATTAACTGTTCAGGGGTTTTGTGATTGGCATGTTTGTTCTAAGTCTTTGTTTTTCTATGGACCGCTTTATGTGGTTTCATCTGATCTGCACTTGTTTGTGTTCATGTGAAAGGTGACCAGTTATTTAATTTAATTTACTTTAATACAGGATATTTGCCTTCTGATGAGTGACGATACTTGTGTTTGGCTACACAGTCCGATACAATTAAATAAGGTCTTGGGCTTGGAGTTGATTGAATCACTTATTTTTTCGTACCCAAGTTTATTTTGCCAAGTGAGTTATGGTTCGGAAATTTTCAGAAATAAACTTTTCATTACTTGCCTTTTACTACAGCATGAGTCATTACACTGTATGCTTCTATCTGGATGACCTGATGGTTCCATTAACTGTTATTCAGTGCATGCTTTAGCTTCATCACGAATATATACGGGAGGGCTACTGAGTCATTTCTTGGCAGTATGATGCAATGGTTTGAAGATCCGGTCCCAAGGTTTATGTTCATTGGTTTAAAAACTTGGTCCAGCCACTTTGTTCTTGGAAGCTGAGGGGTATGGATGTCTCCAACAACATAGAAAGAAAACTACGCAGGTGAATAAAGCACTAAGCTAAACTGTAGAAAATATGTAGATAGATGAGCGGAATAGTTGTTAAGCATCCGGAGGAAGAGTATATTAATATGCGCCACTATGATTAGTTTTCCAACAGTGTCACCCAATATCCTCAAACAGACCTTCACTGCTGTTTCACAGATGTGGTTTCCCATGTGTGAAGACCGAATAACCAGTGAATTAATGGCCTGAGGTTTTTCTTCAGCTTGCTCTTCTCTCAGCCAAAATGGTATGTTGGATAGACTTTAGCTTTCCATGTGAACATGTTGCATCCATGACACCAATACCAATTATATAGTCTTCAATTTTACTTACATGAAGCAGTGGGAAGCAACATGTTTTAATCGGTCACTTATGTACTCTAACCTGATCAACAATGAACTAGAAAGACTTGAGACATTGTTTTGAGTTAACATTGAGTGAGAATGAGCTTAGTATATCTACGTTCATCTCAGCCATACATTTTGTCGTGTGTTGTTCAGTCTCATTTGAATTTAAACCCATCTCCACCTCTAAGGGTAAACAATGGGACAGCCTATGCATATTTAAATGTATTTTAGACATTTGGGTTCTGTTGACATATATAACAAAAAGTTGAATAGAATACTAACCCACGAACTTTTTAGCGGTCATTGCATGGACTGATAGTACAACATAAAGCTTTGTCAAACTTGTTGTTAACCTAAATCTATAATTAAAATTTAAACGTTTTTTATAGATAATATAACTCATCCCCTCAGAATTTTGGTGGCTTACGAGCTACTAGGAGTTTTTGTGTTTATAATGTTGCATTTTTAATGTCATTAGGGGATTAGTTGGGTTATAAAAAGGAACCCATATTTCTTCGAAACATGTTTTAATCTCAGGTCGATATAAACCTAGTGAAAATCAGAAGTATTGAATAGATATATTGTCCTGGAATTTCGTCATTAGGGATCAGTGACCCTGAAAGTTCAGATAAAATGTTGTAGTTTCTGGGGAACTGTGTTTATTTGAATGTTTCTGACAACCGAAATTCCTATATCAGATTATTTTGAAATAAGACGAGATCAGTTTTCAACGTTTATTTTTTTCCGACCATTTGTTTATCGTAGGATAGGGTAAGAATGTTACGCAGCACTGTTTTGGTTTCCGTTAGTTTCACTTCAGCTTAAGGTAGAAGCCATTTTGGAACATGCAAAAGTTCTCCATTTCACTCTGAAATTTATTTAGGATCTTCATCAGCGAATGGTTGTAAGCGTGTTCAAATAAATAGTTATGATTCGGGATCTGAACCGTGTAGTTTGCGGTGACAGTACACGAAACCGAAAGATAAACCCTGTTTTGACCTAGATTTCAACTATTTACCACGGTCTTACATAAGGATCAGTTTGTCAAACAAAGGGTATTCTAGATAATCAGTATTTCGATTTTCTGCAAACAACCATCTCCTTAATCTGAACTACACTCCCTTAGCATACAGTAAATACATTACTACATATATACACATACATAGAAACGTAAAGGAACTTGATTAAATTCACACATTTTCCTCCTTTTTTAATTTAGCACCCCGCTTTCGCGTATTTGCTGAAGACGAATTTATGTCCTCTGGTGATTAAGTTGTTTTCTCCCAGCCTCAAACTACATTCAACACCATCAGCTACATCTAGTAGTGGTGGAATAGCTGATGTTGCTTCAGCTGCATTCGCTGCTGCAACAGCTGCACTCACTAGTGTTAGTGGGGTAACATCGTCGTCATCGAATATCTCAAATGACTTACTAAACAGTGAGAAGCCGAACTTTGCACTATTTGTTCGTTTGAAACGGCTAATCATTGTCATCGTAAATCATTATTTTCATCTACTGGTGAGTTAACTATAGATTAATTACTGAACTTATAATAATAATAATAATAATAATAATAATAATAATAACCTATAATAAATTCGAATTTAATCGTTGTGCAATAATATACATATTTTTAGTGACGATCACTTGTATTAGGTCCTCAATTAGTGGGTGTCAACTCAGAAAAAACCCTCGAGGAAAGATGAGAAATTATGAAACTTGAAGGAAATTTGTTCCTTTCTATCTTACTGAAATTTGTTGAACAAGCTCTTATGTCAAATTCCTTTTTTGACAGAAGACATGGTTTGAAAAAGTTTACACTAAGAACTGAACACTTTTTTCTAAATAGTTTCTTTGTCTGCTGTAAATTGCTGGTTGTTTATGAATGGAACTATGACAGACAGACAACACCAACGTAGAACCTCGTACACAAGTTCATCGGGTCAAGTTGCCACACTTTACAGTGGTATACAAAGAACAGGGCGAGGGTAAAAAAGTGATATCAAAGAAGACAAAGTAGTAAGAAGGAATAAATAATCGGAAGATAGGGGTTAGTGGCAGTATTCAAACCTTAGAAGATGTCAAGGAGTGAATGCATCTGAACCATTACGATCGATTTGCAGCCATGTCACTGAGAGTCCTCAACCCCTGATTCCTTTCCTCTCGGAGACCCGAACCAAGTAGTCTACATCTTCCCACACGGCTCCAACTGGCATTCACCGACTTTATTGACTGGTGCCATGTCTTGGTCTGACCATGCTGGACCCTGTTCAAACCTAGTCCAACTTCTGGCAGTGGTCTCTGATTGTGAATATTACCATCCTGTGCATTTATTGCAACGAAATTGATAGTATCAACTTAAAATACATAAAACCACCCAATCAATTTTTTGTTTTTGATGTTCATAAAAGAATAGAAGGAAGGGATCGTACATAAGCGCATTCAAGACCTTCCATTCTTGCTTTTCGTTGATACTAAAATTTTCACTTCTAATCACTTAACAGCCCTATGGTTCCGTGTCAGTAAAATCTATTATTTTCTAAATATCATTTATGACTGCTTGTTAGTTTCTCTATGGTTCACATCCTAAAAGAAACTGACTAACCACCTTTAATAACGTGGTTAATTGAATCGATCAATATCAAGATAAGACCCGAGGTGGCCAGACTAAAGCATGGCACCGATGCTTTAAGTCTCTCACTGTTGGTTTGAGACATGTGGGGCGATGTAGACTGGGTGGTTGGGGTCTGCAGTACAAGAGGAACTAGTGGCTAGAGACTCTAGGGGGTATGGCTCAGAACCGATGTCTGGCTCAGATGTATACACACATTATCCTCATCTTAATGACGCTATAGCTAATCTCATCATTTTCTCATTCTTCCTTTCTCTCTTTTCGTACTTTATATTTCTTTTGACTGCATTCTATCTTCATCTTTCACCTCACTACCCTTCTACTTGATGTACTGATATGAGGTGTGGCAACTCGGACCGTTACGCAGTAATGCCTGGTCCTATGTTGTTGATGATGATGATGATGAAGATAAGACTTAATACTACTGCATAACAGTCCGAGTTTCCTCACCTCACACAAGAATATCATAATCAAAGATGAGGAAGTGAAAGACTAATAGGTGGAAATGATGTGTTGAAGACAAGTTGAAAAGAAAAGGGGGTAAGGCAACTAATGAATTATAATATAGTGGTTAAAATGAAAAGCCATATATAGGTGTGTGGTAAATTGTAAATAGTTGATTTTTACAGGTCAGTTGTCCACAACCTAAGTCTTCGTATTCAGTGGCGAATGGGATTTGAGCAACCTGTTGGAAACAGGATAATTAGTGTATCGTATCTACTTTCAAAATATAAGGTGCTTCTATAACGTTTGAAACTCAGAAGTAACACCATCCATTTTGGATACACGAAATTATCAGTCGAATCTACTTCAACGGACTCATTGTTTCTGATATATCCATTGGAGAAGTTCTTAGGGAAGTAATCACCAGTAGAAATTGTAAGAGGTTCCTACTACTTGTACCAGTCTACTACACAAAAACGAGAACAATTTCTTTTTTGAGAAAAGAGCAGTGATATTTTTATTCTTTATTTTCTCAAAAACACCCGATGCAATTCGAATTGGAAGTTTGTGGGTTTAGGTGATTGGTTTCAGGGCAGTATTAATCACAAACTGACATCAGTTGATGAATCATTGTAAATCTGGGATCTCTGGACATCTGTTTCGTCCAGATGCTAAACTCCTCGGCAGAGTGCACTCTCAATCTTACCAGTAGCCGAGCCCGGGACCACCAGCTCTTGCGGGCAGCACGTTGCTGTTTAGCCACTAGGTTGGGATTCAATGGTTCACGTTTTCGTACTTCTATCGATTCGCCATATGACGCAACCGTCAGCCATTGTGGTCGACGAGTAATTTGTCCTCACATCCGACTTGTTTGACCCCATAAGTCATGGCTTCTTGTTTGAACTTCGGGGAATCCAGCTCAATGGATGTCAATGATGAGCACTAGACAGTAATTCAACTTGAGGATTTGTGAGGATTGATTTATTTCAATGTTTCATACTAGGACGAAACAGCTGTCCAGTTCTCCTGTGTCTTCAGTGGCTCTCCAACTGATGTCAGTCTGTAGTTGGAAGAGTCGAATAAGAATATATCCGCCGAGATACTTACTATTTTCCTAGTTTGACCTACTGTCTATATGAAAAAGAAACATGGCCACAACAATATCTGAAGTCAGTGAATTGGATGATTTGATATATATGAACAGTATGTTCGACAGAATGTAGTACTGTATGGCACGAGTTTTTAGAAACTGTATCTTTACTTGTTATGGTTTCGAACGCTAATGGTTATATGTATTCCGAAACGAATATATAATACGCACGCTTAGCTGACAGCTAACTTAGTACGCAAGAGCCATTGACTGCAACCTCGGGGTGAATAGAGAGAAGACCGAAGCTGGATGGTGGGAGAGTTTACTCCGAGGGTATAATAAATCAACCCAAAACACGTGAATAAGTATACACATGAAAAATGATCTTGTCCTCAATTTTGAGAGATTTGCATAGTAAGAGTAAAGATTAACCAATTAGCGACTTACATTACAATGGGAGCAGAAAGTAGACTACTAGTCATATCGTAAAAATGGTGTGGGAATGACACGTTAAGTTGTTCAGATCAATAACAATGTTTTATACAAAACTGGGGCATCACAACATCTCTGATGCACAAGTTTTAGCCAGCAGATGAATAGCTGTTTAGGCTTTTTCCTCCCAAGCTCACCAAGTCAAACCTCTTAGCTGAATTTCTCAAACCACTTAAATCTAGCATCTTAGCCGACATGAATCTGTATATCGTATATTAAGATGCACAATTAGTGATCTATTGTTCTCCTAGCTTCGATGTCCGAACTGGGACTAATAATCTTTCTTGCTGTAAGATAAATAATTCACAAGTCATTTGAAAATCGATATACTTCACAGCTGACCAGTTTCTTGGTTATCTAGATAGGACTTCAAGTAGTAATCCTTAAGTGAAACGTGTCATGGATGCATGCAATTTATTACTCAACCATATGCGTAGTTAAGCACCACATAAAATGACGTACAGATTTCTATAGATATATCGGAGCATTCTAACGGTGGAGAAGCCATTAAGTTTGTTTGTTCTGAACGTATCGGTGTGCCAGAGTTCATATCCTGTAGTCTTAACCAGATGGTTTTCAACAAAAGTCTTGCATAGACCACAGTTGAATGGTTAGAAATATTAACATGAACCAAATAATGTGCAAAATGTTAATTCCCAAAGGATTGAATATCTCATTTTGTTTTCTTAATCACCTTTCATGCCTTTATGTTTTGTTGGATATAACATATTCAGAATACAGAATGTGAAATCTATCTGTCACTGCTAATACGCTTCTTGGATGTGAATAAGATATTATGGCAGCGTGCACTTGCACTAGAAGTGTTATACAAAATTGTAGAGCAACCTGAATTGGTTAAGTAAGTTCATGAGCATATAGATATACTATGAATTTTTCATTGTTCTTAATTTAAGCAGAAGAATAATCGTTTTGTTTAGGAATTATATCATATCGGAGATCTAATGGTTATTGATGGATTTGTAGTTTTACAAAATTAAGAAGAGAACCTTTTCATTGATTTATTTCTTAGTAAATTATCAGGTCAATCGTACTGTGTGTGTGTTTGCAGGAAATGAGGACGGAGAAAAATGGTCTGACAACTAGTGGCAGTTAGTAATATTACCTGTATCTGTGCTGTGCTGTGTGCTGTACAAATGTTGATATATATGATCAGTAGTAATCAGGAAAGTCATTAAAAATAATTTGTCTTTAGAGGGAGAAACTCAACAACTTGGTTTTTTCTTTTTATATACACTAATTAGCTGAAGAGTGGAGTTGTGGCTTATTGGTTTAGGGAGTTAACTTTCAACTAATGGGATGTGGGTTCGAGTAAACCTCCACCTACCGAGGTTTGGGCAGCCAGATGGTATCATTGGCCATCACACAATAAATGTGGCTCATTGCCTACTACGCGGACATGTGCAAGGTTACTGAGTGGATTTCAACTCGATTCGAATCAGCTAAAGGAAGTGAATAGCAGTTTCTACTCATTGTAACTAGTAAAGGCATGTATTTACTCGAACATGTTGTAGTATGCACAATGGTTTGAGTATCTGCTTTTGAGTAGGAAATTTTATCAGGTTTATGAAACTGATCATAATTTGTAATCTAGCACTCCTCTGAATGCCAATACTAATTATTACCGTTACCTTTCTGGATATTGATATCGAAAAGTATACTTTTAGATGCCAGTGACTAGGCTCAAAAGCGATAAATGTAAAACCATAGTTCTGGATAATTGGACTGAATTGAGGTCATTTTACTTATTCCATGACTAGTAACTCGTGTATGCACAAATCATAATGGATTCCTGATGAGCTATTTGTTCTGCAAACCGCAAATAAACCATACGGTTTCTTATATCGATCTTGGTGACTAGAAGAGGGATTCAGGACGCGTGTTTCGTCGTATTTGGGACTCGCCAGCAGTGAGTGATGTTGTTTGGCCCTATATAGCAACGGAAAATTACAAGTATCATTAGGACAACTGATACGCGCTGCAAAGAGGTGGCTATCGTGCCCCAGTGGCTTAGTGGATAGTGCTCTGGTGTTTGAAGTGAAAGGTACTAGGTTCAAACCTCAATGGGGAACACCACTCTGTGCTAGGATACAGGCACCTCGAGCTAACGAGTCCCAAATTAGACGAAAGGCAAGTCCTGGGCTCCTTCGTTAGTCATTAAGATCATTATGACATTACGAACATCCGGAAGCATCGAGGTATCCGTATAGGAGCCCATCTGCCAACATAGGTCGACGAATTCGGCGGGGTATAGCAACGGGAAGTTACAAGTATCATTACTATAATTACATACAACCTCTTATTTACTTCGAATAAGCCGCCGAATGGTATCATTAAATTTACCAATAGATTCAGCTGTGGCAGCTCACAACACGAGATTATAAATAGATTTTAAAGTGTATTGTTATTACATGGTGCGATAACTTCTCATTTTAAACCTTTTCTGTTTGATTCAGTCACCATACCTACTGAGTCATCACAATCGCTTACTTATGAACTCAGTACGAAAATGTCGTCAAACGCGTCTAGAATCATCATAACACCTTCTGTTCGTTAATAAAAAAGATAAATCAAAGATTATTAGTCTGTAAACCAAACTTGTTTGAAGCCGAATTGGAAATACTAGATAACTGAAGGAATCGTATTGATTTGTACAGGTTTTCAGTTTCATATCTAATGAATACCTATTCGGTATCTACACTAATAAGCCACAGCTTTAATGTCCCCTATTAGTACGCAGTTGACCACTACTTCTTACTAAACCAACTTTAAAGGGATCCTAATCGAACTTTCACTTTATAATAAATTGAAATACCATTGTCTTGAAGATAAACTGAAGTGAAGTAGTTCAAATAAGTGGATTATTGTATCACTTAATTGTCACTAAACAAGCACATCTTTTAACTGGAAAAGGCTTTTTGTTGTGTTATTTGTCGCGCTAGCTTATCGGTGGATTATATTTATAGATATTCAAAAAGCCTATCTTAGGCAAATAACCATCGACATTTTGTGACAATGTGCATTTATAGACTGCTTTGACAACTTGCTTCATAGTATGTTATCCTTGTTGGTTTGTACTTGCCTGATTAGAATTTGTTAATAGATATGTTGTGAGAACTAGATTTACTCTTCACTGTATATCTTTTGTGGTTAGTTGTTATTGAAGAATGTTGGTTCCGATAAGAAGTTTGATATTGTATACTATCCATACTGACAAATTCACTCGAATCAATGCACAGATACTTGCTTATGTATCTGTTTCACTATATGACCAGTTTTGTATACCAGGTGTTTTTTATGCGCGTATAATGTATTGACTGAAAAGGAGGAATTATGTTACATGCAAATATCCCTTTAAGTGAACTAATAAAGTCTGAAAAAGTTATGACTGATTAACTTTGTACGTGTTGGCATTGGATAGAAGTCGCGCTAAGTCGTAAACTGCCAGAAATAGGAAATGTAGATAATTGAATTTCGACCCAGTGACTCAATGGTAACGTGCTCACCGTGGAATCTGTAGGTTTTGGGTTCGACTCATGACAGGCTCATGAGTGTGCATTGTCGAGGGGTCCCGTTTGGGGACGAAACCGCTTCTCCCAGGTTCCCAATGGTTCTTCAACTGAAGTTAGTCTGTGATGACTATCAGCCTGAAATCAGTAAATGAACCCCTACAAACCTACAAATTGAATTTATACGTATTTGTTTGCTTTTTTTGTGTTTGCTAAATATTCTGTAGTACACTTGTTATTATGGACAGAAATGCAGCTCTAAGTTTATTAGCAACCTACTGAACTGCTGACCTATGTTGCGTCATCCTCGCCTTTACAACAACTGTGTCATCTCGATCACTTATAATCTCGTATGCAATAGGACACAATGGAGGATGATTTTTATGACCTTAACTATATCTCGGATTATTTGTAATGAATGCTTTTCTGCACTGAATAATTTTCATTTACTTGGTGACTGGCAGTGGAGTTTAGGACGCACTTTTTTCCTATTTGGGCATCTTCAGCTGGATATACCTGCAGCCCGGTGAGTTGTGTTGTTGCCACCGAAACCCGCTATCCATCGCTTCAAACGCTAAAGTTTTATCCACTGGGGCACGGGATCCACCTCTTTTGCAATGGGTATCAGTTGTTCTATATTGTTATTTGTAATTCTATTTACATTGTCACATCTATTCATTCTTAACTTTTTTCGTTAAAGCGTACACAATTAAGATTGATCGATATCATTCGAGTAAATTTCTCGCATCCTTCTTGTATTAATGTTATGGTTTATTGTAATACGAGCTACTGTGAAAGTCTGCGTACCATAGCGTAATTTTCCCTATTCACAGTTTTATAAATTGTTCTGTAGAATGTAATTTTATGTATTCAGCATGAATTGTTCTAATTTTGTTACTATGCTTCTGTATTTCTAGGCATATTTGTATTTCCTATGACATGAGACAGCATGCAACAAAGATATTTCATGAACTTTTAAATGCCTTTGGCCAGTACATACAACTATCTCTTGCAAATCCATGTCCAGGAGATGAATTATGTAAGTTTTGGCACTGAGACGTTTTTCTACTTTACTCACTATGGTGCATTTCTTGATATCCATACTGTACTAAGTTTACGTTTTTTTTATAGTAAGACCAAATAAAGATAATACACTAGGTTAAAATATCAAGTTATTTAAGATTCGGTAGTTTACTGTTACATGTGTAGCGTGTAACTTCAGTTGTTTTAAAAAATATCCTACTTTCGTAAATATTATAAAGAATAAAGCGAAAGGTTTTTGATTTTAGTAGATTCATTGTTTTTTTTCTCCAAAGCTGTAGTGTTTCTTTTGTTCTTAGATAGAAACATAAAACCGAAATTCAACCCATTCAGCAACCACATGGAGGTTCATTCAGTAGGTAATGAATCACACCTGTTGTATGAAGGCTAATAACCTTACCTGGTTGCCCTGACCTCAATACGTGGGGCGGGGTTCGAATCCATGACCCATCAGTTTGAAGTCAAGTGCTTAGATTACTGAACCACAACTCCACTATGGAAGCACACTTTAAGGTGTGGTTTTTGGTAGCAAGCACTTCAACGATACACTGGCTACCATCCTAAATGAAGCTTCGGACGAATTGAAAATCATCACTTTCTTATAGGCATCATTAATTCGAATCTCATAAGTTTTTCTTGGTTTAGCTTCTACGAATTTCGAACACAGGGTATCTATTGTCTCACCAGTTGATTTTGTTTGTGTGAACCACTTCTGCTACTTTGTTTCGCTATGGGAAAGCAGAGTCATTCTCTCCAAACACCGCAGCCCAATCAATTAGAAATTAATTTGTTAATGGATTTTATTTGGATAGATCTAGTTTACTAATCTAAGTGTAAAAGCTTCTCAGCATTAAGAGTTAAAACTAACTGAAAAAAGGACAGGAGCATTCATTGGATCAATAAGATTGGAGCTTTGGCAAAATATTGGAAAGTATACTGTCATGAGAGTTCCACGATTTTTACTTCCAAGTTGATAACTAGCATCTTATTAAGAAAACCTTTCACTTACCACCTCATTTGCTAGTAAATTTCTGCCTACGTTCCCATAGCATATGTCACCATTATCTGTCATTAAATGCAAATTAGTCGGGAGATGGTTTCTGGAATTCTCTCCTTAGGGGTAGGTGCGATGTTAACTGAAGTAGAATTCGGCTGGTTATTGGTTCATATCATGACTAGACTAAAACATGGCACCAGTCCATGAAGTCTTTGACTAATGATCTGAACCATGTAGAGAAGTGTAGACTTTCAGATTGCTATTCGCGTGATAACGAAAATCAGTAGTTGAAGACCCTAATTAATGTGCCTTGGAAACTATCTTAGTGGTGGGAAGGGATTCGCTCATCATCATCCTGTTCGCGGTTTTGTCACGCTTCGTTACACCCTTTTCTTCTCTTGTGACTTTTCATCGAACTTTTGCTTTTCTTCTTTTTCTTCCACCTCTCTGTCTTGTATCTGATGTGAAATCCAGCAGTGTGAATCCCTATGTAGTATTCCCAGGCCCAATGTTGATATTCACTAGCAAACGTTTGTCGACTAACGAGTGTATATGATCATTCAGTCGACTGATTCATCCCGTTACTTATTAGGGATATATAATATGCATTCAGGCTTCATACTTATCTGTGCTGATCAGTAAGGCATATCTCTAACGTGCATCATGCTGTCTAATATAAATATTGCTCAATTAGTGATTTGTTCACTATCAGTCTTGTTGTGGATTTTCATTCTTATCTAGGACTTCAAATAGCTTCAAGATTGTATGTACACCTTGTTGAAAAGCAAAATAGAGAGAAAATTTAGTTGCATAGATAACTGTTGATTGCCTCAGAACAAAATGCACAACACAGTGTTACTATCTAGCTTGCTGATCATCTCACATTATTCAAACGATAAGATTTGCTTAACAGTGACAATGGAAGCTTCAGTTCGTTTATTCAAATGTTCATCTAGCACTTATAAAGACAGGGACAAGGTTGAACCCTTTTTCTGTCTATTCGAGTATGAACAGCCAGGCAGTATCATTAACCCATTCTTAATAGGTGCGACTTATTATCCTAAACTGGTATGGCTTTTGAAGTGCATCACATTTACCTGTAAAATTAACTGAATCTATCTCCTGCTTCACTTCAAAGATTATTGTATTTATTAACAGGTACAAATACTTTCTACCGTAGTGAAAATCGATGGTCATCTAAAACTTTCTAACATTTAGGTTAATATAAGCAGCAGCTCCAAACTTCATTGGTCATTTAACAACATGGCGTAAAATGATGCATTACTGATCTATATCATCGATTGAAATATATTTCCATAGGGTTAAATATGGTATTTTAAAAAAAATTATTTTCCATTTGTGTGTCTGGTACCCAAATAATAATAATAAATGCTTTTCGATAAGAAGTGTTGGTGTTCGTGTAATGTAGGATGATATGGACGTTAGATTTTAGGTATTAGAGTAACTTAGTCGATGAGTTTGCGTCAGTCACTCTCAGCTATGGCATACCCCTTTAGCATGATTTTTTTGAGGGATTGCTTCCAGAAGTCTCACTAATTCGTGAAAATGTTATGTGTTAGTCGTAACTACGTTTACAGTCATGGGGTTATCCATTTTTGCAATATGTAGTAGTAAAAAATAGATGTTAAAGGCGTTAATTTATTCATATTGAAGTTGGTAGCAGTGTCATCGATGCATTCACTGTCTATCATACCCTTGGTCTTATATATCCTATTATGTCGGCTTTATTTATCTGCCTATTTGTATGCCTACTTCATACTATTTTATTCACTTCATTGATTTTCTCTTGATTTGTTTCCAATAAATGTATTTTCCCAATTGGACTGCGGTCAGTCAAATATTGTAAATTTATTCTCAGTTATTGGTACTTTTTCGAAATCCACTTATAGACGGGTATGGGGGTTATTGTTTATTTAAAATACTAACTTAGTATAGCATGGGCATTAAATTTTACAACTAGATTTAGAAAAAGTAAAAGTGATATCGAGGGAAAGAAAGAGCGAAGGAAACCGGAATAGAAGTGAAAATAGAGATGGGTCATTGAATAAGCAGTCCCAAACAATCACACACGCTGGGTTGTATGATCTCTTAGACTTCATCCAAGGAGTCGCAAACCATCCACAGATGCCAATTCAATACAACTATCCTTTGTTCCATGAATATCGCTCTTCCTCTTTCAAGCAGTCCATGAATTGGTAAAAGGTGGTTGGTAAGGAAGACACTGGAACGGCATTCGTAACACGTGTCCAAGTCGGTGAAGCTGATGTCCGAAGAGGATTTCTCTCAGTGATTGATGATTTCCACCACGCTGAAGCGAACTGCGCAACATATAATCGTTTTCCCCCTTGGGACAACGGTGATCGAAAACGCAGTCATCGAATTTCCTTGAATCAATAAGGTCGAGTTTTAGAACTTAACTAATTTGCTGTTCGACCGACCTTCCGCAACACGGCTAGTGTCAGGATTTCATTAAATATGACCTGGTTTGGTGTATGACTATCTGGCTTCGTATGGGCTGCCGGAGGTGTTATCTGTCACACCTCCGTTAGTACTCACAAGCCCTTTTTAGCAGACAATTCTGAAACACTGCCCTCTCCAGCCAATCAAATACAACCGTGATATCCTAGAGCTCAACAATCTTGAGCATTTAACATGGATGACTTCGTTCGATCGTATGACAGGGTGAACATTTGACCGACCCTGTGAATAGTATGTAGCAATACTTCCATTGTTTCCTCTTCTCAGTAGTAATGATCATTTGTTACAAGATATAACTTTCGTTGTTTTATGTGAAAATTTTTTTGAGAAGCTTTGTACTATTTATGTTTCACATACCAAAGTTTCATTAGATTGGTGTTCACATCAGAACCGTATAAGTGTAATATGAACCTATTATTTAACTTTCTTACAACGATTGTTTTTACGCGAGTTCGTACTCCGTACATTTATGACAGTAAGAAAGTAATCTATGTGCAAAAAGCTAGTGAAGTTTAACGCTCACTTTCCAAACATATTGGAATACAGCCAATGACTATAAGGTATAAACCTTAACGTGCTTGCATTACCATCGACAGTAATGACCACACTATAAGTATTTTCTAAGTTTATTATATTGCCTTCACCTGTCGATTCAAGCAGTTATCATGGCTTCCCTCCCTTTCGTCCAGCCTTAGATATGTACAACTCGCTATATCATATCTTCACAAACTAGTTGTAAAACATAGTCTGAAGTATGTTGGTTGGAAGGAGACAATCGGCAGGAAGCCCTGGACCTAGGTTTCGTGCTTGTTTGTACTTGTCAGCATGGCGTATCTTCAACCCTGATGGAACTGATGTCTTGCCTGAGATTCGAACCCGAGTCACCCAGTGTTGTCGCTGACTACCACACTGGGCGACGCGGTTCCTGCCGACTGCCTCCATCCGACTAACACCTATCAAGGTGCATCACGATACTGAGCAGCCCATTCTGGTGGCCACATTACAAAATACTTGATAGAATTCGGTCGGCACATAGAACTAGACAACATGAAATTGGTTACCCTCCAGTGACCAGTGTATAGTGTGAATGATGTATTCTATTTCATCTCCAAGGTGACAGAGCTAAATGTGAGTGGGGAGCGCATGATATCGTTAGATGTATCGTCATTATTCACTGAGACGATAGCTGAGGCTATTGGAATTCGATCAAACCATCCAAAGCTCTGTATACAGAAGAAATATGTACAACCTTTATCTCTCCCTTGGCCAGGGAGAACCTTATTTATTTTTGCAAAAGGACAGCAAATAGTGTGGAATGAATCGAATTCATTTCATGTGCTCTAAATCTTCCACATATGCACTAAATTTAAAATTGTGTGCAGTAAACTTTATTAACTGTTTTATTCTTTTGTCTTATTGTCTTACATATTATTCTCAAACATTGATATTCTCATCATTTTCGGTCTGCTTTAATCCATTATATGATTATCATACTTGTTAGCATATCCTTTTCCATTCCTCTACCGTTAGTTCGGATGCTTTGCATACCATCTTTGTTGTTCTCTATCTTCCACACGAATTCCTCTCACCTTGAGCTGTAATCACATTCTTGTACCATTATCATGTCGTGTTTTGTTTTATATTTACTGATCAGTTTTGAAGTCTTACTTGTACTGATTGTTTAGATCGTGAACTTTGTCATCCATATCTGTTCCCATATATATGTATTGGTGTTTGGGTTTGAAGGGTGTATTCGGTGTTGTTTACTACTGAAATGTATCAAATGCTGGACACTGATAGCTTAATGTACGTAATTTTAAATTTAGTGCGTATGTGGGAGATTTAGAACATATGAAATGAATACGATTTATCCTGCAATATTTGTTGTTCTTGCTTTTCAAATATTTATAAATTGAACTAAATTGCATGAGATTCTTAAGACTGACGAAATATACCCATTAATTCATGAATAAGAACAAGACATGTATTATGAAGCTGCACAGTCATATTTATACTCGATAAAGTAACAGATAATTGCACTAAAAAGTTGCTCAGTCAATATGCAAAATATACAATAGGTGTAGGTGGTGGTATTTGTTCAAGTGGAAGAGATAGAAAATGAGTCACTGAATAAGGAACGAATTGATAACAAGTGGTGACGCTATTACAAGACGAAGATAATGGTTTATGTTGATCTTAACTAAATATTATTCCCCTGCTTATTGTCTAACATGTACTACTAACCATTTGTAAAATAAATAAATTTACAATGTAATCGTATGAATAAAGAATATGCCATCTGTCAGAATTTGTGTTAAATCAAAACTAGTAGGAGTGTGAATTTCAGTATTATGTATGAGGAAACCGCTTTTGTAGACTCAGTGTAGAAGTCTTATCCATTGACTTAAACACTTGAGTTCAGATGTAAATACTCTTATATGACTATATTCGATAGTTTGCTATTCATGTAAGTGTCCTAACCACAGCATGACATTTTTAGATACTTAAAAACGCCATTTAAACCAGAAAATGGATAACACGTTTTTACAGTTAAACATTTTTTACGCCTAGACGGTGTCAAATAACAATAATTAATGACTGAAAACAAAACTTGTAAAACTGATTGTAGTACAACTGTTTTAGGAATATCTTTGATAAGAGGTACCTTTCTTTGCAACAGTTTACTGTGAATTTTTCAGCAAAGGAATCAGTTGTTTGATGAATCTCTAAACTCTTACTGAGTTAAATATGTTTTGTATGTCCAATCCATCTTATATGATAACATGCGATGGTGATAAAGCTTGTGAATGCCAAATAAATACTATGTTCGATTTTTCATCAATTGATGCAGTCACTGATAATTGTTATGTGTTGTATTTCTAACCATGAGCCTACTAGCTAACACATGTATGGAGAGATTGATACAGATTGGAAAAGATGCTCATGTGATATGATCATTGAATGTACCAAATAGTTCCCTATCCCAACTGTACTGATGATTGACATGATTGACTAAAGTGAATGAATTTATCAGTCACTGAGGCGATCACTAACAGTCGACTGAAAATTAATGCTTGATGAAATAGTCGGTAATCTGATAGCTAAGTGATTTGATTCATAGTGATAAATACCAACTTGAAAAATCACTAAATCCCCGCAAACCTCCAAATTCAATTGATCTAGTGCTCATTGATGACTAATTTCAAGCTGTGATTCTTGAATTCCCAGTGGGAAGTCGTGACCGGTAGAGCAAACTGATTGAACGTGAGGACAAATACTCAACGATGACGTTGGGTGGTGGTGGCGCATTTATGAACTGACAAAAGTTGGAAATATGGGCCATTGAATTTCGATGAGAGTGGCTCAGTGGTAAGGTATTGACCACAGGATCTGGAGGTGTTGGGTTCGATCTGTAGCAGGATCATGGATGCGCGCTACTGACGGGTCCCATTATTATTGTTATTATTTGTCCCTTGGGTTCCTAGGGGACATAGGGCTTCAGTAGCACGTCTCCATTTCACTCTCCTCTCTGCAGTCTTTTCAACCTGGCTCCACCATTGCCCACAAGCTTTCATTTCTTCCTCACACGATCTCCGTGCCACCCTCATCACGGACGCCCAACTCGTCGTTTCTCCTTTGGATTCCACTCGAGGACCTGGCCTGGTGCGTGATGTCCTCAATCGGTCTTCTCACTGTATGCCCAATCTATCTCCATTTTCTTCTGCATATTTGTTGGGTGATAGGTTCTTGATTGGTTCGTCGCCAGCCAGAGTTCCTTGTTGCTAATTCTGATTATTCTGGCTATCTGATCTTCAGTATCAAGTGAGCGTAAGCGGCAGCTGTTGATGAATGTCTGTATTTTGTTTGAAAAGCTTTTCATGACGCGCCAAGAGGAGTCCCATACTGGAGCGAAGCAGCTGTTCAGTGCTCCCAGGTCTCTAATGTTTCTACAACTGACATCAGTCCATGATGAATACAAACTAAATTCCCGCAAACCTCTGAATTCATTTATTTCTGTTTCTCTTCCTTTCAAAAAAAATTAGCTAAAGACAATAGCAATCAGGCAGCAAATCAAGCGATGCATATTGGTGGTATCAATCAATCAATGTTATACTACAAAGGAAGTTATTTTCCTATCCACCTGCAGTCAAAAGGGATACTGTGAGTCTGTATTTGTTTTTGCATTTACATATGAGTATGTTGATGTTTAACCATCAAATACAAGGACCTACTTAGTATTCAGTGATCGGTATTTTTAGAACAATCCTCCAATTAAATGTTAACAGATGGTAAAATTGAATCCACAACTATATAACTTTACCTGAAGTAATAGGCAGAATGCACTGTGGTATCGTCAACTAACAGCTCGTTTATCTCTATACATATATTGATTAATCAGGTCATGACAGTAGCTATCTTCGTACAACAAAACAATTCCTTAGTAGAGTCATTTTAACTTGTAAGACAATGTCTATTTATGCAAAGAACACATACTATCAGAATATTTATCGTTCGTCTGACTTTCATCTCTCTATTTTTCTTATTCACATCAACTCTTTTTTGTATAGTCTGGAAATGCTTGATCGTAGTGAACCGCCTGTGTTAGCTGATGGTTACTGTCTTTCCTTGGCTTTTGTATGCCTTCGTAAAGCAGTGGATTCGTTAAGATCAATTGTAAATGTTAATCTACCTGAAATCTCTGATAATGATAATAATCATAATAGTAGTATTGACAGCAGCAAAAATGATACTTTAACAAAGCCTGATGTACTATTTTGTAAACAAATCGTATCGAATTCATGGTGTGGTCTGTTGTCGTCATTCAACTTATTACTGGAGTTAAGGTATGTTTTTGGATTAATTTCATTGAATAATTCGTTACTATGCTATTGATCATAATGTTAATTGAAAGCAATTAAACAAGCATTTACTGTTTTACTTTGACGTTATGACCTGGGAAGTTAGATATTGTCTGATGAGACCTAATATAATCATGCTGTAGTGAGAATTCAGTAAGGCTGAAAAATTGGAATCATGAGGTCCAATTCATCAGCTAAATGTTAACCAGTTAACCTCCAGATCTGAATGCTTTATGGTAAATCTTGAGTATGTATTTCTTTTCATTATTTTCTTGTCTCCAATGTTTCTCTGACTAATATTTCTGAATTTTTAAAGCTCGCAATCCTCTTTAGTGATCCCATGAAAAATTTCCAGGCCAGCAGTTAACAAATTCGTGTGTTTATTGTTAGGCATGACGTTCGTAATCTTCTTTTATCCTACTTTAACTCATGCCATGGTGCAGTTAAGTTTCGATTTATCCGGTAGTTGTATCATTCAGCTATTTGTTGGTGCTTGTATTATTGTATTATCTACATAATCCCACTCTCTTCCTTTCTTTCGTTAGTTCGCTTATGTATCGCAAAATGGAATTCGCTCCGTCAGCCGTTCAGTTCAATCGATGTTGTAGGCATATCATGTTTGCTTTCATCATAGCTATTTTTTTACACAATTCACAGTATTGTTTCTAAGTTGCAACATTCAAAAAGGTGGTGAGGTCTTAAAAAGAATGGTTTTCTTGTATCTACAGAATGATGAGAAATCAAGAGATTTTAACTTTGATTTAAACACATTGTCTTCAATCAAACTCTGAAAATTTTCCTCTCATTTCTTGTTAGATTTTTTGAAAATATTCATTTCTCGGTTATAATCGTTGGTTAGTATTCAGTTCGGATCATTTCTAACTTCCTCTTCGGAAGGGTTGTCTGAGAACTTCATCACCATAATAAAGGCTTTATGCTCGACTAGTGGCAGTTGTGTTAAAACCTACAGGAAGTCAACGGGCAGCCGCAGTCGATGGTTAGAGGCTTTAAGTGATATGAACTACAACCCATAACTGTGGTGCAGATTGATTTACACCCTATTTTATCCTGTTCGTCTTATCATATGTCGTTATTTGCATTATTCCCTTTTGTTTTCACTCTGTGACTTTCTACATTTGGCATACGATTAGGCAAGTCCGTCATCGAATTTCTGGATATCATCCGTCGTGTTTCAGCAACATCCAGATAAAATCATTATTAAGCACCGTACTCATATTTGATATGGGCATCGAGTCGACATTAATTAGTGCCTCTTAAGTTATTTATCATCTCTTTTAATACTTTACGAGTTCATCTTTCACATACACCAGAAACCCATTGGGTGCCACCTGTACGAGTCAAACCTGTGTTTGTAATAGGAATTCAAAGTCTTTTTTTGCCTTGGCCATCCATATAACCCTTTTCCTTATTAATCTTGCAAACTTCTACTGTTATTATTATTGTTATTGCAGTTATAACTATCTTATTCCTCTTTATTGTCTCTAATTATGATTGCTTAATTATTGTGAACAACTCACCTGTGATGATCCATTGTCTACATAACGATACAATGCTCCAATGCAATGCGAATAACAATAGAATAATGACTTCTCGACTCAATGGGATTGAAAGTATATAATGGCTGAAAACAGTCATTTATATATCCTATGGTGGCTTTGGCCAGGGAAGAGAAAATAGCATATTAAAAGTGTAAAATGAAGCAATTAGCGTTTAGCGTCCTAAACTGCTGTAAAAATAAGTAACATCTGATGGCGCAAGAAGGGCGAGAAAATAAGGTTTAAATTTTACATCACCATCGATTATCTCTTCTTGTTAACCAATACTACTTACTATACAAACGATCATACTGTTTCACAGTATTGCATGGATGGACTGGAATTTATGTCGTTGGGTCATGCAATTGTATACAAATTTGTTTCAAAGTATAGATTTCCTATTTATGTATTGTTATATCTTGATTAAAAAAGTAAGATTTAGGTGATCAAAAATTCTCAAGACGATTAAAACTCCAACTGATTAATGTCCACTATTTTCTACATGAAATCGTTCTACACTTTTCTAACTCCTACACAGACGTTGGGCATATTATCGTAGTAGCGTATTTCCGTGGAAATACTTTTTCGTTTTCTCAAAACATCAGTGGATAACCTCAGTGAAGTGATGAAATATTTTAGGCATACCATTCTTGGTTGATTTGTTGGGTGACTAAGTTAAAACCATATATGCCCATGAATTTTTGCCATAATCATCATAACGTCGTAGGAAGAATATTAACCCACTCATTATCTTTTTGTTTTGTCTCTATATTGTTCGCTAGAATGATATTAAAGTACCCAGATTGCCAGTGATTGTCCAATTGTGTAATAACGAAGCACAAAGCCTTTTTAAATATGAATTATTTCTCAGCCTTTTATAATCGATTAGTGTATGGTTCACTTAATTTGATAGAAGAACTGTGCAATTTTTTCGCATGTTATTTGTTTCTTATTTTCAGTACTATTCAACAAACAATACTAATTTTTGTGTGAGACAGCAAACAAAAACTAATATTGTTATACTCTGCCACAATCCCTAGGTTTCACTGTTATTATCTTGAACCATGACTCAATAGTGTGGACAGTTGATTTTCAACCTGAGGCCACACGTTCCAAACTCAACTCACCAGACAGTATCACTAACTTTCATAAAACAGTTGTGACTCATTGCTTAATATGAAACCGGCAAACGGTTTCTGAGTTACATTGATTCATTATTATCTTGTACGCTTAGGTTGTGTAGTTTCTGTCGCTAAAATGAACGTTATACTCCACCATTGTTTTTGAGGTCTGATATCTGTGGGAAAGCAGTGTGATATCGTTTTGCAAATACTCAACTATCTTATGAGTATTTATTAGAGGTAATTAATGCTTTCATGGTACTTTATCATCCCACTCGGGATATGTGAAACTGATAAATTTCAACGACCGCTTATAAGACAACGTAGACTAGACCTTCGGTCATATCCATTCTCTGCGGGTTTGAACTCTTATCTAGCCGAAGAAAATTGAGTTCGTTTAATTCACTAACAAAATACTTAAGAATCAAATACTCAGACGTATGAATTACAACGTAATTGAATCAATGAGTAGCGAGGGACCCCTCTGTGCTTTCTGACTCCTATTCTCTTATGTAAATAATATAACTTTTTTGATCTTGAAATTTCCTTATTATATTTCACTGAAGTATATATATATATATTTGAGGTGAATGAGGATTTTAATTTAGAAGTAGTATTCATCACGGACTGACATCAGTTGAGGAACCACTGAAAACCTGGCACCACTGAACAGATCCATAGCCGGGTCTTGGGTGCGTACTGCTGAGGAGTTTTATATTGGACGAAACAGCTGTCCAGTGCTCCCAGGTTTTCAATAGTTCCCCAACTGATGTCAGCCCGCGTTGAATACTACCTTTCTATCTCTTTATATAAATAATTTCGTATGACTGTTTTTTCTTGTCTATTTTATATGATATCAGTGCTGACTGTCAAATCACAGGATGTCTTCTTCAGTCATTACAAATTATGGTTGATTTGAGTGGAAAGCTACACTTGGATGAAGCTCGCGATGCCTTCACTATGACATTGTGTAGAGCCGCTCTGCCGACTTCATGTACACGCTTTTTAGTGGCATCGAATTCTAAAAGTATGCGGTTAGGTTTTTTTGTTGGTTGCATGATAAACTCCTGATTATTTTTATTTCGTAATTTGTTTACCGTGCTCTCAATTGTACCATATTTAATTGAATTTCTCAGATTTCCGAGAAATCATTAGTGTTAATCATGTACTCTTAGAAGTTGTTCTGGAAATTTTTTTATTTAAATAATTAGTTTACATGCAGTTGGTCCTATTTTAGTTTTTTACTAACCCTCAAGAATTCAATGACTTCATAGTTGACTTCATTACTCATTTTAATTGTGACAAGTCTATGACCAGCATACTACTAGTTTTCTTCAGGTCTCTGAAATTCAGTAAGGATTTCTTCAGTCAGTAGAAAGTTTCACTCTTTGTTCGTTTCTACTTACAGCTTCTAGACAGGATATGGAATGGCTTTACTTATCAATGTTGCAGATGACAACTAGGTGATTACATTTTCTTCATGTATGCCTGTTAACTGGATGTAGTTACAAGGTTTTGTTGTAGTTCACCTGTTACTTGTGCTGATATGGTGTGTGGCAACTTGCGTCGCCGTGGAGTAACGCTTAGTCCTTTATTGATATTAATTGATTATAGTTTACCATTCGATATTTCAGTCACTTCATACATTCACAAGTATGTGGCTTTTTCTTATTGCTGCTGCTGCTGCTGAGCAGTGTGGTAGAGTCGGATTACCTCCACGTTTGGGAAGTTGCTTGAAACTGTTGACTAGGATGGTGGTGAATATAATGTAAAAAACAGCTAAAGATTCACTTGTGTTGATTCAAATAGCTGTTAGATTTTATGATTTCATGTATACCGGTCACCCGTGTACTCTGAATACCAATTATGAAAAAAGGTTGAAACAGAAGCAGTTTGGATTGATCAAACTGATTGTTCATAAGGAGCAGTAAATTTGTCAACTGTTTATCCGTGGTGTATAATCAAGTGTTGAATGTGTTGCCAATGAGTTACTTTTATGTCTACTCCTTGATGTTTTGCAGCCTGAATTTCTCTTAGTTTGTGCTCAGTTGAAGTCCTTTGGTTTCATCCAAGTTTCCTTATAATGGAACATATATATATATATATATATATATATATATATATATATATATATATATATATATATATATATATATATATATATATATATATATAAGAAAGTGGAGATGGGTCGGGCACACATTGATTGCGCCATTCGGGACATGACGCGCCAGGCCCTCGAGTGGAACCCGTTTGGGAAATGAGGAGTTAAGCGTCCGTGACGAGGGTGACATGGAGGAGACTGTGTGAGGAAGAAATGAAAGCTTGTAGGCAGTTGATGAACCAGGTTCCAGAGACTGCAGAGAACAGAGTTGAATGGAGGCATACTACTGAAGCCCTATGTTCCACTAGGAACCCAAAGGACAAATAATAATAATAAATAGTTCTCACACTTCAATTTGAGGGCTTGTGGGTATTTATTGATTTCAAGTTGGTCTTCATTGTGAACTGATATCAGTTAGAGGAACACTGGAGACCTGGGCACTGGACAGCTGTTTCGTTCCAGTATGGAACTCCTCAGCAGTGTACAACCATGATCCTGCCAGGGATCGAAGCCAGAACCTCCAGGTTCCGTGGTCACCACCTTACCATTGAGCCACTGGGTTGGAATCCAACGGTCCATATTTCCAACTCTCAATGACTCATTGGTAATGTGCTGACCACGGAACCTGGAGGTCCTGGGTTCGATATCTGGTGGGGTCATTAGTGCCCACTGCTGGTTCGTCCTATACTAGGACGGTGGTGGTGATTACTGATTGTCTTGTTGTACGTTCGTAGTTCATGTGTTTTAGGCATTCGATTAATAGTTCAGTCGGTCATTAGTTTCAACACTGCTTCACTTATCAGGTTATTAACAGCTGTTTTGTCTACGACGCTGTATTTGGCTGTTGCGTTATAAAGAGAGAGAGAGAGAGGTGCTGGCGTGTTCCTTTTAAAAAAATGTGTTATGTAAGTTGATGCATCACATCACTTCGAAACAATGCAGTAAGACATCAACCAAACGAGTAAAAGCGATAGTAGAAACGAAGCAGTGAAACAGAATTAGCGACTGTTGGATAATGAAACATATGTAATAAGGTAAATTGTTATCAGGCACACGAAATTATGGTGGATTATAATGTATGTCACATAAAATTTCCAACTACTGAATTCTGGGATCTTTTTAACCTATGAAAAGGTGTGGGGTTTATCAAAAATCTCTTACCAGATTTCAGTAACTTTGTGAGCGTCCCCTGGGCTTATGATTGATCTCAACAAACATTAATTGTAAGTGTAGCCAATGACTTGAGGACTCAGTTTAGAGGAATAAAATTTATATTTGTAAAGATATGCGGAAAAAAGCTGTAGGAGCACGTTTGTACTTTACTGTGTAGTTGTATCTAGCCTGTTTCACAATGATCATTCTAAAGAGGAAAAATTGAAGCCAAAATAACTTTACCATGCATTGGCTTGCCGTAAAGGTTTTTATAAATGTCCTCTTACATATAATCGAAAAATTTCAAACTCCTCTAAATAGTAATAATTGACCAGGGAAACAGAAACGTTATTAAATTACAAATTACATTAAATAACACAGAACCGATTCAAGAATTTTTTGTTTGAAAATAAAATATTTGTATTGAAACAGAAAAAAGTACAGTCTTACTTTGATTCTAAGAAAGTTCTTACTTGACTGCCAACCTTTGACTAAAAGTCAAATTATCACTATTCTACTTTGGTTATATTTTAGTTATTCATTTACGTTTGTTTTTCTGATTCTTGTTTCTGAATAGTGTTGCAAGTATATTTATATCACTGGAAAGCAACCAATTTCATGTTCTGAGAACTGACTGAATTCTATCGAACATTTTGTAATCTGGCCACCAAGTTAGAATGCTCACCATGATAGTGAACTGTCGTACTTGTTGGCACTCGTCAGCAAGGCGTATTTACAAACACGAGGGAACTAATATTCCGCCTGGGATTCGTACCCGCGTCACCAGTGCTGCAGTGATAGACGTTACTACATTACTTACATTAATTAGTTACTGGAAGGAAGCAGATTTCATGTTATCTAGTCCTGAGTACTGGACAGACTTCAGTGATCAATAATTTTTTGTGGTCTAGTTCTGCAGAAAGTGAATTGCGTCCTGAACGGCTCAGTGGTAAAGTCGCTGACTACAACATTGGGTAACGTGGGTTCGAATGTCAGGCGGGACATCACTTTCGTCGAGGTTGCAGGTACGCCTTACTGACGAGTGCCAACAAGCACGAAACCTACGTCCAGAGCTTCCTATCGATTGCCTGCAACCAACTAACACTGTTGGAAGTATATATACGGTTGGTTTTGAAGCTCAGACTTTTGATTTCATTCAGTTTGGGTCGTAGTTAGTTAGTGGTCTGTCGTAATTGGTTAATTCAGCCATCAATAAAGTGTACAATTAACCGTGATAAGAATGCAGCTAAATCAACCCCTTCCCCTCTTTCAAATAGGTACAAAAATACACGAAGTTACCATAACGAAAATTTGTTTTTATACTCACTTCTAACATATGTTTATTGAATTTAATATGTTAAACTTGATTTTTGTTTCTACTCATATTCAGGTTACTCTGTAATTTCTCAATTGTCTTCAACTTTCGGTTCCATGAACAACTGCGATGATATATTCGAACGTAGTTCAGTTGTTTTAATGGTTTCTCAGGGTCCTGGTCGCACAATTCATATAGGTCCTCCGACAAATACACCTCCTGTCTCACAAAGTTCATCAAATCAAACCACAACTAGTGGACATGCTCAAGTAGGGCTCACTGCTTCTGCAAATACTGATCCTTTGTCAACTGGAAATATACTACTTACTGCTAAGCATTTACAAGCTGCTCATGCTGTTTTAGCCACTGCTCATTCTCATGGCAATGTATTGGATTCATCATGGAGTATAGTTCTAACTACAATACAGGTATTTTTTTCCATTTAGAAAAAAGTAATGTCATGTTTTTATAAATTAGGCGTTATTTTTCAGCATATTTACGATGAAATTGCGTTCTTCATCTAATTCAGCCTACAGTAATTGTAGTCGAAGTTGATGAAACGCAATTATTAGAATAGTAATTCTCACATATCTGCATGCACATAGTAGTCGATAGCACCACTAGGCGTTAGTTCCTATTTAATAGTTAAGTCTACCATATTCTTCTACTGACGTATTCGTACTCACGTACTTAATAATGTGTTGAACTGATGTCATTTAGCGTTTCACAAAACGTCTTTTCACGAGATAAAATGTAGATGAAACCTGGCTAGACAGATTTTAATGATATACATGTGCCGGATGACCCGAGAAAATCAATATCACCTTAATGTGTTAGTTATCCGATCAGTTCCAAAGTGGTACATGCCGAGAACACCAAGCTTAGCTGAATATGAGTCTTGATATGATTTAATCCTATGTGAATTTGAAAGGAATTTTTCATCATAGCATAAATTCCTCTAGATATATCCCTCACTCTACAGTCATTTGATTGATAGGGATTTTTATGCAAATATTACTTCTTCTAGGAGTTCTGAATGATAAACTTAGCGTTTTGAACATGTCTTGCACCAAGAAACGATGAAACGACTGTTTAGGAATTGGTTACGCTTAAATCTTTTGCACCTTCTGATGATAGTGGTTTGTTTGGGTTCGGTTACAATGAAATCTTAGGATAAGATACGACTTGCTGTGCCTGGGGATCATTTTCTCAGTTGACCTTAAGCATCTCCTCTTTAAAGGAGTCTGCATATTTTGTGCTGTACAATTAGAAAACTATATCCTTCAAATATATATTACCTAGTTTTGTCAGTCCTTTCACTACTTTTTCCGCATATTATCGTACATTATTCTTTATAATTAAGTATGACCAAAAAGTTATAAGGGAATGAAAGTTTTACAGATTTTCACTGATTCTAACGAAGAAAAAGTAGGATAATATTTTTGTTCTTATGAATTTTTCTTCTGAGGTAGAACTAGTTAGAATGGCGTAAGTGCGACGCAAGGGTGATGTGAGCGTGAAATCAAGTTTAACTAACTTCACATATTTGTTTTCTAAATGCCTCGTTTAACTACTTGTAAGTAGTAAGGTATTTAATGTGGAATATTTAGCTAGGTGTTTGGGGCTAACTGTTCAACTCTTCTTAAAACCCCAGGGTCGTTTCGAAATTCAAACTTCTTACATTTTATCATATTTACTGTGTTGGAAGAAAATCTAAGTCATGAAAAAAAGTTCCAGCTACAACCGTCTACAGTTTTTATTTTAGTTACAATAACTAACTGTTGCAAATCAAGTTTTAATTTCAGTCTTCACCAATGTATATAATTTAGAAATATTCCATGTCAATTTCAAACTAAGGTTTTGATACTTCGCTGTTATTCTGGTCATATCTCTTACTTGTATTTTTTATGTAAAGTCAGTCGGAAGCCATTCTTATGAGTTTTTTGGAGATATGCTTTTATATACATTTCCCTCAGTCTGTTATCCTGAATAATAACTGAGGATCATAATTATTGGGGATTCTTTTAGCATTGAATATATCCAATTCTTGTTATATAGCAGACGAATAAAAGCATCTTAAGCAAATATACGACAATATTTCCTACTCAAAATGTACTTACTGTTTCCTATAAAACGACTCGCAAATTGGTCATGGTCACATGGTCAAATTTTAATATATTAATTTTATTTATTATTATTTAATACATTGTTTCTTAGGGTGATATAAGCGACAACCATCAAAAAGTCAATCGACATTGCATTTACCGGATTCACTAATCTTGAAGTGAAAATCAAAAAAAATTAAATCTTCAGTATGTCACAGGATGTGCATAATAGTCGATAGGCTTTGTTTTACTGAAGTAAAATTTATTTCATCCTACGTTCATGTTTCATCCTACGAACAGCGAACGATCAAGCTATGGGTTTTCATAAGGTATACTGCAATTAAGGATAAATCCACTTGAATTTTTAAGATTTATTAGTTTTCTCCTTCATTTAGATGCTTTCGTGGGGTATGATTTATTTTAATATGATTTCCGGCATGAGTTGTAGAAAAAGAAGAGTAGTATATCTATGCTGTTGCAATAACATGTCTACTTATTGATCTTTAATTTGTAGTGATGCTACAACTGATGCCATTGTTGAGACCTGAACTATCTTCGGTTTCTTCTTATAAATTTCTTCGTCACTAAGCTAGATGGTGTTGATCAGAAATTCATTTAGTAATTTGAATCAAATGTTATCAACAATTGAATTTTGTGCAACAATCTGACTAAATAATGAAGTGAAATTTTAATATTCACTAAATTTCTCTTTTTTTTTAAATATATTGAACAATAGAATCTTGTGTGGATGTTAGGCTTGAAAATTGAACCATCGGCTAAATTATTTTTTAAATCAGTACAAGAGCCTAGCAGAAGTAGCAAGGCATCAGAAAATACTAATTTCGTAAATACAAGCAGTGAAATTGTATCAAGTAGTAATCATGGTTCTACACAAACCTCTATGACAACGCATGTTTCAATTTCATCCGAATTGAATTCTTTATCGTCGATGCTTACTCAAATATTTGTTCAGTCAAGGTAAATGATTATCTATTGTAATCTATAAGTTGTTTTGTGTATTGGTTTTTAGTCCTTTGCAGAAGATGAATTAGTTCTGTTAAAATTTAGACATAGTTTTCATGAGAGATGGACTGAGCAACATCCATATATCGTTGTTGTCCTCTGTCAATAGTTAGTAACTTCTGTTATGCGAGGTCTAACATGTGCAAATTCAGTCTTTGTAGCGGAACCCTTCACCATGATTCGATTTTTCAAACCATCGAAATTGCTCCAACTGACGTTTTTCAGATCTTATATCAGCCGGTCCATGTAGGTTGTTATAATCTCAGGAAACAAGCTTTTTTTTATTTATATGCATCAATCGCTGTATTTATTTGATAAACTCTAACAGGATTGCTAGTATCGTTATTTGCCTCCTTTTTCCTGTAACATCAGGAAGAAATACCCATCGTTTGCATAGTATTTTTGCTGTTCGAAATGCATCTGTTGGGTATCATCTTACATAAACTATATAAAATATATTCAACGTATGCATTTCACATCATATAGCCGTAGTTTGGTAAACTAGTATTCATACTGCGTGATGATTGAAGATGAAATGAGCACCGGTCCGGAAACTTGGTGGCTGCTAGTTCGAATCTGGCCGCGGTCCGAATTTTCATTTCATCTTCAATCATCACCCAGTATATATTCGTGTAAAAGGTATTTTAATCGGCTTTAAAGTCACTATAGATCACTTCGTGTCTAAACTGCTTCACTTATTTTTCCTTTTTTATATCTCTGCTTCATTACTAAAATAGTAGTTTGAACGTAAATGCTCTAGATAGTCTTATCACAGCTCTTTGTCGTTTATCGTCGGATACGCTGGAAGCAGTAAAGAACAATCGAGTAAGTCTGTTATTTACTTTGCATATTGAGTGTAACAATTATTTCTACAAAATTCATCCATTTGTTTTTTTTGTTCAAACTGCTTTCCAACGGTTTGTAAGTCTTTACTTCGTTCAGTTTTATTCGTTTAGGGAAATTTCAACAAATCGTGGAGAGTCGATAATGTAAGTGGATTTATAGGTTGGCTTAGTTTATCAGCGTGTTTCATCTCCAAACTACTGATTTTCCTAAGCTTCTTTGTTACCTACCACGATCACATGGATTAATGCAGATCCGCCCACCCCAAGTTTGTTTTAAAAAGTTTCATTTCACCTAGTTCAGTGTTTGGAAAACGTACTATTGAAAGATTTGAAACAATCAGTCCTTTTCCGAAGATGAAAAGTGTAACTTAGACGGAAGTTATCTAGATTATATGATGTTTTTGCTCTGTAAGTTTCGGACAGTCTGACTCACACTTATATCTATCAAGGCATTTTATATGAAAAATGGAGATATAAGAAGTTTAAACCGAACAAAATACCTCAACAAGCAGTGTAAATTTAAAAAAATGTATTAGAAGAAGAATAAACTTCGTAACCAACCTAAGAAGTAGGGTAAGTTTAACTTCAGGACGAATCGGTTATAACACAAGGAGTGCATAAATTTGCCTATAACTAATTCAAGTATATGTCCATAGTAGTTTCTATCCAAACTTTTGAAACAAATTTTACTTCCACTTCTGTCATCTGTATCAAGATATTTTACAATGGATGAAGCTGATATTCTGCCACCTGCTCGTATCATTTTCGCGTGAAACCAACTGTTTCTGTTTACGTGTTCCACAATCGTCTTGTTCATATCTTGATCAGTCCTCCCTACATATCTCACACCGAGTAAGTGCATCACTTTATAAAAGGCTCTCTACTCGAACACTTGCCGGCGTGTTAGAGCCTATGGTGAGATGTCAGGTGAGCTGTACTCATCAAGTGGTATCCGTCAAGGGTGCCCATTCTCTCCATTCTTATTCAATTTTATCGTAGATATTCTTATGGAGGTTTCCTTTTCGTTGCCTGATTACACAGAAGTTGACCTAATCACAAGAATTTTCGTTAGACCTAGAATATGTAGATGACATAGTCTAGTCGTGTTAGGTGAAGACGCTGATAAGATGCAGAGTCTTCTGAACACTTTGAGGTGGAATTTGAGAATGTTTGGGATGCGATTCTCACCATCCAAATGCAAATTGTTGCTCCAGGATTGGTCTTCAACAGTGCCATGGCTAACAATACAGAATGAAGTGGGTAGGTGTATCGACCACTTCACTTACCTGGGAAGTTAGGATCAGCCCTGGTGACTCAGTGGCCGGAGAAATCTCTGCACGGACACAAAAGGCTCGATTGGCTTTCGCCAACTCACGCCAATTTACTCCACCTCTGGCGCCACCGTGATATCCGATTATCTACTAAGGGTCGCGTGTACTGCACAGCAGTCCGGCCTGTTCTACTGTATGGCTGTGAAACATGGCCATTGAAAGTGGAAGATATGAGAAAGCTTCAAGTGTTTGACTACCGTTGCCTTCGTAGTATAGATGGTATTCCGTGGTGTCACCACGTGAGTAACGCAGAAGTCAGGAGTAGAGTTTTAGAGAGAAGAGGTAAATCAGTTGACGAGGTTGTGAACCTTCATCGACTGAGATGGTTGGGACACGTATTACGTATGCCTAGTGGCCGATTGCCTCGTCACACAATGTTGTCTGAAGTAGGTCCAGGCTGGAAAAAGGCCTGAGGTGGCCAGACTAAAACATGGCACCAATGCATGAAGTCTTTGCCTATTGGCTTTAGCCATGTGGGGCAATGCAGACCAGCCGGTTAGGTTCCACGGGAAAAGAGAAACGAATGGTTGGATATTCTAGGCGATATGGCTCAGAACCGATATCTGTGACACAAATGTATGCGTTCATTATCCGCATCTTAACCCTATACTTAGTCTCATCATCTCATTCTTCCTTCTCTTTTACTACTTTCTATTTATACTACCCTTGATCGATTTCCCTTTCCTTCTTCATCTTCCATTTTTATTGTCCTATAACTTGATGTGCTGATAGGAGATGTGGCAACTTGGACCGTTACTCAATAATGGCTGGTCCTACATCGGTCTTGATGCTAATTTGATGCGGTTTATATTGCACCATGTGCTTTCTTTTCTCAACTTTGATAAACCTGAGTACGTGAAACACTTCGCTAATGATAGAGTTTAACTTTTGCTTCAAAGTTATTCTGTTTCATTACGCTTCGTGTGGTAAAGTGAAATAAAACATCTTTCCTTGAAATGAAATACGGGACTAGTTTCAATCTTAATTGATTTCTGCGACAGTTTACGAACTTTAAGGAATAACAGTTTTTTTCTGGATTTCTTCGCATTTACTCTTTTGATTATCATCCAATGTTTCTGCTGTACGGATACGATGGGTTTTCGTAAATAGAAATGTTATCAAACCTTGGTTGTATTGTATCAAAAAAAGACTGGTGATTGACCACCATTGCCTTCATAGGATTAGTCGTTTCGTTGTACCTCTCTCGCCGGTGTCGTTGAAGTCAGACGTATATTTTCAGTTACGAGAGGAAAGTCAGTTGATAAGGTTGTGAACCATCACTGACTGAGGTGATTGGGACATGTTCCAAGCATTCCTAGTTACAGTCTACTTTGTCAGGCAACCTTAATGAAATAGGTTCAGTCTGCAAAAAGGTAAGGTGCGAATAGCCTACAATATCTCACCAATCCCTGTAGGTTTTGTCTGTTGATCAGTGTTATGTAAGGAAACGAGCATACCTCGGTGTTGTATTCTGTGTGGCAACTGAAATCGGTGATCGCAGTTTCCAGGCGATATGGCTGACAATCGATGTCAATGGTGCATATGGATCTACACATCGTCTCCACCTTAGTTGTCATACTTTAATATTGTCTCATTTTTTTCCTGTTCTCTTTGTACTACCTTCTAGCATTTTGGATTGTTTTCCTCGTTATTTTTCAATCTTTCTTCTTTGTTCTTACTTTGCTATATTGAAATGAGCTGTGACAACTTGAGTCTTTACGCGGTAATTCCAGTTTTTATTTTGAAGCTTACTGACACTTAATTTTTTCAAAGAGTAACTTGAATAATCAAATTATCCGGCATACTTTTAACGTCTGATATGAGTTATCTATATGGCTATATGAAACTCCACATCACTTCACTATTGACTTTAAGAATATGTTAACCTTCTAACATAAGGTGAATCTTACGAGTACACAGTATTAACAGCTTTTTTTAGTTATTTAAAATGAATAGGGAAAAGGTATATACTACTAGTCACAAGGAATTCTGTTGATTTTTCACAAGTGACGTTAGTCAATAGGCAGTAAAAATAGTCCTGTTCTTAGTACTAACTACTAATATCATTCAAGCAATCGGTAAGTTGTAATATGTCTTTGAGAGGAAGTTTTTGTTATTCATTTCGAATAAGATTTAACATTCTTGTTAGCTGTTTTACTGTCCTATGTGTAAGGGACATGGACATTATTTGACATTACGAGTTTTGGGTCAAACTGCATGGATTTAGTAACTCGAACTAGATAAATTGTGGTGAAAAAAGATTGATTGTAGTCGTATTCAAGAGTCCTACTCGATTAGATGTGAAGTTATCTTCTTTTTTTTGTGCGTATCTCATGTCATTTCGCTAAAATTGCTGTCAAAAATGAACTAAATTTCCTACTTTTCGTTGTTTTTTTAATTGGATTTTCATATTATTTTTTCATAATTGGTTTGTCAGTAAGCTATTATAATGTTGTATCCTATTGTCTGCTTCAAGCTCGTCAGTATGTTTAAGTTTTGTTCTGGTAGCGATAATCGTCACATTAGGACAAAGAAAACCAACGTTCTTTGTTCTCTTATAATAACTGATTTGTTTCTCGGAGTGAATTAAAAGTGTTCAGTGACTAAAAATTACATGATATAGTGAGGTCGGCTAATTATAAGATGTAGGTAACTTAGCATTGGTGCTTAGTTCTTATTTACAGTACTCAAGTTTTTAATGCGTGAACCTTCTGAGTTGTCTATCTGTCTTAGTCAAATTATGCATGACAAAGGTTTGTCTATGTCCAGTTGGCAAGCTTACCATCGACTTCGTTACGTAGTAGTTTGAGCTTTGTGTTCATTGTGTTTAACTGATGTTCAGAGTGAATGCTTCTGACGTGATCATAACTGGCCATTGAATAATCGCAGTTTTATTTTGTTCCTACAAGATAGGACTAATAAAATAGAGCAAAACCTTAATGCACTATCAGAAGGTCAGCTATCGAGGGATACCAACCGTAGATTTACAAGATCACACTTGAATTATTTCAACTGGTTATATTCAACTGGTAGTATCGATACCAATCTGACTGCAAGTAAGCTATACAGTCCACTTTATTTTCTTATTTCATATTTAATCGGGAAGTAGTATACTTTCTGTAAAGTCATTTTATCGTTTGAATATAGCAAGAAGAACAGCAGTAGTGGAATTGGCCTGCATGTGTTTCTCATAGATTCTCCTCAGCTGCTTTACAACCTGTAGAATATAATGCTTATGATAAGAAGCATGTTATACAACTTACCTTCATATATTGACAAGAATGTTTCAGTTGAGATGTAAGATAACAATTGTTGTCGCCTGAGCGAAATTGATGAAGATATCAAGACTTCTTAAAGGATAACCTACTTATACAGTGATAGAATGAACATTCTAGATGAGATAACAAAAAAAGGGGGATGGTTGTGCACAATGTTATCCTAGAATCGGCAAATATGACATAGTTAATTAAGCGTAATAAAATGTTAAAAGATTTACATTTAGTTGAGTAATACTTTGAATATAACTCAGAAAGTGAGAGTTGATTTTGAAATAGACTGAAAGATAAAGTGGAAAAAACAAAGTCATGAGGTTTTGTATTTCTAAGTTTAGGAAATTAAAATTACCAAGATAAAGCAGGATTGAAGATAG